ATACACGCGCAGGGCGCATCCACCTCGCCAGTGTGGATGTTATAAAACTTCACGTTTAAAGTCCGTGTTTGGCACGCAGGGAGGGGGGGATGCGTGCGTGCGTGTGTGTGTGTGCACGGGGCGAGGTGTCTGCCGCGGATAACAGAGCAGGCAGGAGGGGGAGAGGACAGGAGAAGAGCGGTGGACTTATTTCTAATTTTATCTGACATTTACTTTTATTTTTATTGTTTTTATCGTCCTGCAGGCTCTGAGAGAAAATTAATTTGAAGCTGAGTATTTTTTTATAAAAATTGTTAGATTACTCTAAAGCAAAATGAGGGAAAATCTGTGTCAATTACAGACATTCGTTCACGTGAGCAGCTGTCAGTCAGCACCTGTCAAACCTCCAGACGCACGACGGAGCGTGTCTGAACCAATCACTGATCATCTGACTGATTTAAATACATCTTAACATTCATGAGGTACTTTACATTTACAGTTTATGGTTGAATGTGGGCGTGTAGAGGGTAGAACCTGAAGTGGGACCTTGTGCGCAAACTCTGACATGCGGCTGTGATTTATAAAGGAAAGATGCGCAGAAACATGCGTACGTACGGTTTTATAAATCTGAATTTTTTTTGGCGTACGCCATTTCCGCCTTTTGGCCGTACGTTCACTTTTAGTATGGTTTCCACGCAATCCTTTATAAATCTGACCCCAGGTCATTTCATTGACCTATATTTATTCACATTTTAATCAGACTCATATTTACTGAAGTGTGAGATTTGTATGATATGCAGGGGATTCTTATCTCAGGGCAAAATACTCAAAGATGAGGAACCAGCTTTGTCTTTTATTGTAATTTACTACAAAAATAAAACAAGAATCAAATTCATTGAATCAAGAATAAAACTTTAAAAATAACAACATTAAAAACAAGCAGAACGGTTTCTCAAACAGAGATGAAAATTATTGTAGACTTGATGTTTATATCTAAGTTAAGGACCAATCCTCTTTACTTTATATATGCTTCCATTAGGTAAAGTTATTAAACAGCATGGGATACATTTCCATTGTTATGCTGATGATACTCAGTTATACGTATTTATCCACAAAACCTGATGAATCCAATCAGTAACTTAAACTACAAGCATGTCTTACAGACATAAAAACATGGATGACTCTTAACTTTCTGCTTCTAAACTCAGATAAGACAGAGGTTCTGGTTTTTGGACCTGAACATCTTAGGGATCAACTTTGTAGCCTTTCANGGTTGGTTGTTTATATTATTTTCATCAATAATATATTATTGTTGAACCAACTTGACCCAGCGTCTTTGTGTCCAGACCAGCCGTGCCCGGGTTCCTGCCTCCCAGCGTCAACAGCACCTTTCAATAATAAACTTGTTAAATTGCTGTGTGTGTTCGGTTCTCATTCAGAGTTCAAAAACCCATTCTTAACATTGTGGTCTATATGTAAATGTCCCTAACAGGGTGGAACAAATTTAGAGAGGATGGTGAAAAAACTACCTGTAATTATTACTTTATCCAGCCCTGAGCTTGAACATTATTCATCTGTTACTGTTAAACATGTCAGTGATGTAACAAAATATTTAAAACTTAAAATATTAAACTTTTTTTTTCAAAAGTCCTGAAGCCAAAATGTTGCCGCAAAATCTAGCAAATTCTCCAATCCCTTCAGTGAGAAAGCTGTTAAGCTGATGGGTCTGAAAGATTGTACTTCTCTGGTTTGGTTGGTTGGTTTGCCAGGTTTAAGCAGAAAGACATCTTTTGCCGTCCTCCACCCAACTTGTACATGACCAAGCAACTACACAAACAACGTACGTTCTAGTTATTGTGTTCAGAAATAAATCCAGTCCTCTTTGACAAAACACTGGGAAAATGCCATCTGGACCACAAGCATTAAATGGATCAAACATATTAATTGTGCATTTTACTTTGACTTTCATAATGATACTTGCAGCTCTGCTCCAATCATTGTCTGTTGGATTTAGGTCAGCGACTGTGTCAGGCTGTGCAGTCTCTCCTGCCCCAGGTAAATGTACCCGGAGAAGATGCTGGAGCACACTTTCTTGTGTGACTGGCAATCCTTCTGGTGGAATAATGAAGGTTAGTTGATTGACTGGATCCTTTCTAAGAAGCTTGTACAGCTTAGAAGAGGCACTAGGCTTTTAACTTCTTTGCAGAACTTTCTCCAAGAAAGTTCTTTACACTCCCTTACAACACTTTTAAAATGATTGCGGGACTGTACATACTGTTCCCACCTGGTTTTACTTGGTTTGGATCTGTATATTCGCCATTTACATCTTGCTGCCTTGCGGAGGCCAGACAACTCTAGAGTCCACCAGGCCGGCTGCTTTGAAGGCTTCCAGATTTTCTCTGGACAAGCAGTTTGCACAGCATCCGTCATGCTTGCGACCTCTGTCTCGATGTCTTGCACAGTTTTAATCCTGGCAATTCTTCCAACCATCAACCAGGATAGATTAACATTCAAATTTCAGTTGGTGTTTTTGGGTTTCTGTAAGTGACTGGGTGTGGTTTCCCCATCTTCAGCTTAAACTGAATACGCCAATGGTCTGACATGGTTTCCTCTGGGACACCTCCCAGTCACACATACTGCTTACCAAGTCCATAGACCTGACTGTTATATCAATGACCTCCTCCCTATTAACGGTTTGGAAGGTAGGTACATTGCCCTGATTTAAGATAAGCAGATCTTCTGTCATCAAATATTCTAACAGTGACCTGCCTCCAGGGTTAATATCAGAGCTCCCCCAGCACACATGATGGGAGTTGGCATCACAGCCTATAAGTACCGAGAAGCCCTTAGATTTAGCATAATCAACTATCACCATAAACTCCTGTGATGGAGGTGGTTGCTGTGAATCAAATGGCAGATAAACAAAGGCTGCAATAATCTGGATTCATCATTTGACTGAATATCCTGCTGCAGTGCTACAGCATCACCTGTTGTTAGGTGGAGCAGTGCAGTGTATCTCACACCTTTTGTCAGGGATACTGCTGCTCTAATTGAAAATATGGATGGAGGACCTCAAGTTTAGCTTGTTTGTTGCACTAGCGCTTAGCTAATACATACTGTATAAGGCAATATAGCGTGAGGTCTAGCACAAAAGCTAACAGGCTAAGCTGAGGTTCTTCTTCCATGAAGCAGCTCTGTTGTCCTCCATCCATATTTTCAGTTCCAGGCTGAGTCATTTCTACCTTCTCCTCTCTGTCAACGCTCTCTGGTTTCATTTAAAAGAGTCGATCATCAGATATTGTCCAAGATTAACCTTCAGGGTGGATATAGCTCGCTAGCAGCCTCGCACCGAGGACCTATCCACGTCATCATTTACCCAGAATGCTTTGTGTGTAAATAAAATGGCTCCATCAGTGTTAAAATATATTTTTAAAAATTTACAAAACTAAACATCCTACAGTATTTTTACAGTCTTTATTTTACAGTTAAAATAAATGTTTATCAAATAAAGTCTAATGTTACAACTAATCGGGGATCCCTTTAACAGGAATTACATCACCATAAGAAAGAAAATTTGCTGTCCAAAATGAAAGACAAACATATGACATGTTATGGCTCAAATTGTTCTCCCCTTCAAACAATTCTAAAATACAAGATGGAGGATGGAGTACCTGTGTGCTGACTAGCCGGCTCTCCAGGATCTCCTGGGTAGGGTCCTCTGATTCCCAGGGTCCTCTGCCATTGCCGTGTGGAGTGAACTTAGCTTGGCCTTCATCATCATAGACGGTCCACTTGGTTAGCTTCTCCACAGTCTGATGGGGCAGGAGATTTTCTGATCGGAGCCAGTCCTGTACCACACACAACAAATCTCTGAGAAACAGTTGCTTTCATAATTTACTCAGTTTAGACATATTTAACGAAGAATGCAAAAACAAACTCATAACACAAACCTGAGGGACTCCACTCATCCGTGGACTTCCAGTCCAGTGCACCTCTGGTTGGCTGACTGTGTATGACCCAGCCTCACCCATCAGCTGGGCCACTTCTTTGTCTGTTTCCTCTTCATACAGAGAACAAACAGCTGACACAGTTGCTCTTGTGTTTGGAGCGTGTTGAGTGGTAGACTCTGGTGTCCCAGCAGCGTCTTCTCTGCCTGTGCTAGGTCCTCTGAGTCGTGTTTGTCCATCATCTATACTCCTCTCTGGCATCTTACTCAAGTTAACCTTAGAAGGTTTTAGCTTCCCTCTTGCAGCTTGTAACACACTGATTTCATCCTTATTTTCCATGGAAAGTTTCTTGGTTCTACTGTCAGGTTTGGATGATTCTTCTGAGGCATCAACAGAGCCTGTACTCTTTGTTATCACATCTGTCATAAGCCCTTCCCTCCCTGGCTTCCTTGTGGTCTTCAGGAGACTGAGATCTGGTTTTACAGAAAGGACAAGCTTAGCACCAGGCATTGGAAGTTTGGGCTCAGAGGCACCAAGTCCTCCTGCTGGACATGATGGAGTAGAAGATCTAAGAGCTGTCAGAGGCATCTTAGCGGTCTTTGCCTTGCTGATTTTGTTCATTCTTGGAAGTACTACAGCAAATTTGGACTCTAACTCTTTGTCTCCACCTTGTAGAGCTTTGTCGGCTCTGTCCGTTGTCTTTCCTTGGAGGTTGGATCCATCCTTATCCTTATAAGAGTTATTGTTTTTCGTGTTAGTCAGGCTGGTTTTACTGGCAACCCTCATGGCCATCCGGTGTTTGAACAGATTGACTTTAGTTTTTCTGGTGTTCTGTTTTTGTTTCATGGATCGGTTGGAGAGCCAGTGTGACACACCAATGGCTTTAGTCAGAACGGAAAGTTTTTTTCTGAAGTTGAATTGTTGTGGCATTTTATTTTGAATCCAACCAGACACCCTGCGGAGAGTTGTCGCCTTTTTTCTTTGTGTTATTAAAGATTTCATGAAATTGCTGGTCGTCCCCTCAGCACCATCACACTCTAAAAGTTCTTCATCAGATTTTGTCCCAGGTTTGTCTCCTTTGGGCTGAGGAGATGCCATCTTGACTTTGCTCAGGAGAAAGCTCTGCGGCTTACCTTTCATGACACTTTCAGCACCCTGCTGCTCCTCAGGCTCTGATGTGGCTTTCGGCTCTCTGCAACTGGCTTTGGGAAACAAATTTGGACTTTGGCCTGTAATGGATTTAGTGGTAATGGGTTCAAATTCATCCTTTTCCTCAGCTACAACAGAATCACCATCAGAATCTCTTTTTTGGACATGTTTTCCTTTCTTTATGATCGGATTCTTACCATTTGATGAATCACTATTGCTGTGGAGAAAATGTACTTTACCTTCCTCTGTAGGGTTGGGGTTATCACCCTTTTGTTCTTTCTTCTTTTTCTTCTCTCTCTTTGCTTTTTGTTTGGCTTCATCAACTAGCTTCTTCTTTTCTGTTTTTGCCCTTTGTTTTTCTTCTTTCTCAGCCTTTTTCTCTGCTTTTGATTTTTTAAACATCTTTGTCTCTTTTCCTGTCTCAGAAAAATCTGGAGACTGTCCACATTGTCTTCCAGTTTTATTAGACTTTTTGGTGTCCGTCTGTATTAGCTCTTTGATTTCAGTCCCATCACTGACCTTCTCACAAACATCAGCTTCATTTAGTCCATTTCCATCTTCTGTTTTATCTTCTTTATATTCTTCTTCA